GACTCTAAACTATGAGCAGACAGATAAAGGAAAAGGATTATAAATTCCCTGAGAAGTACAGTGCTGGCAGCACCGTTACATTGTTCGCAAGGATTTATAGAGACATGCAGTCAAAAATAGTTTTATTTCTTTCTTCCATACAAAATACCATCATGTACGAAAATGCACACATATAGTTTTGTCAATCAGTTTGCATTTTAAAAAGTTGCAGTGAATTAAATGCATTTTTTTTCTGTGATGTAAACATAGAACTGTGTCCATAAGTGTCATCGGGGCATAAAATGAATGATCATTCAGCAAAAAAAATGTATTGTTACATCTGAAACCAGAGATGACTTTTGACAAAGGAATTTCCTATAACTGTTCATGATTAAGAATGATTGGCTTTAATCAAGGTGGTTTGTATATCTAAAATAAAAAGGCACACACACTATGGAATCTCTTTGGTACATAGTTCATCAAAAATTACTGGGAACTGCAGACTAATGCTGTTTCTCCTCAGCAGTCTGTGTACAGAATAGCTTCAGGAGTCTGCTCAAAATACAATTAGATCTTTCAATATACATAAATGTAGACTAATGATGAAGTATCAAAGCATGCATGCATACTTACAGATCGCTGAACAGACCAAAAAAAAAAAAAAGATAACTTTGAAAATGTTTTTCAGTCACTGTTGAACACCTAGCAATACTACAGAATTGTTCCAGAGACGCAAAATAACTTGAAGTCTAACTTCTTATAAAAATAACATTGAATGAAACCCCTTTATACTGAAATTTTCAGGTTTATGAACCTCTCCTGTATTAATTTCTTTGCCATGGCAAAATTTCTTACAACCTGTAGGTGACTACTAATAAGAATATTTGCGAGGGATTTGCTCAGAGTATCTTCTATTGTCTTTCTTTTAAAATGGTGCTATGGTATGCTTTAAAACTATTTCATGGCCCTTCAGAAGAGAAGCACGAACATAATTTGATCAGGGTACAGTGGCTTCCTTTAAAAAAAAGAAAGGCAGCACTATATTTACAGAATTAACACAGAGTTCAAAGAAGGTCCCAGTACCCCTTATTCTGGAGGAGAGCGCCAGGAAGGAATGCAAAAAGGCATTTTAGCTGCCTGGATACATTTTGGAAACGGTAATTTGGACAGGGTACGTCTACTTACATACACGCTTCTGTTCATTTGAAAGCTTAAAAATAAACAGGCAGTCTGTTGATAACAATCTATGCTTTCATAAAGCACATTTTTTTTAAAATATAGGTAGTCCTCGACTTACAACCACAACTGAACCCAAAATTTCTGTCACTGAGACACTGAAGTGAATTTTGCCCCATTTTACGACCTTTCTTGCCACAGTTGTTAAGTGAATCACTGCAGCTGTTAAATTAATAACACCGTTGTTAAGTGAATCTGGCTTCCCCACTGAACTTTGCTTGTCAGAAGGTTGCAAAAGGGAATTGTGGGACTCCGTGACTGTCATAAGTACGAGTCAATTGCCAAGCGGTTGAATTTTGATCACGTGACCAAGGGAATATTGGAATGGTCGCAAGTGTGAAAAACGGCCATAAGTCACTTTTTTAGTGCCGTTGTCACTTCGAACGGTCACTCAATGAACGGTTGTACGTTAAGGACTACCTGTACAGTCATTTCTTGGCATCTGTTGCTTGGCTAAACGTGCAATCGCCAACACATTTCTTTAGCCACACAAATGAATCAGAAATCTCAACATAGCAAGCCACAAAGGAACTGGATAAAAGTCAGCTTTGAGAGCTTTTCATATGTCTGCACTACAGATATAAACATGAAATTGCTGAGAAAGTATCCTTAGGCTTCTAAAGAGTACTGTATGCATCTTCCTACATAGGATAGGATAGGCTTATTCCAGGGGTCTTCAAACTTGGCCACTTTTAAGACTTGTGGACTTCAACTCCCAGAATTCCTCAGCCAGCCAGGGCTGGCTGAGGAATTCTGGGAGTTGAAGTCCACAAGTCTTAAAAGTGGCCAAGTTCGAAGACCCCTGGCTTATTCATTCCTGTTGACATACTGGTAGTAATTTTACTTGCTTTATAACCGGTGGAGGGAAATTGGGTTCAGATCCCACCAGAGACTTGACTAATGGAATCATGAGGTCCTAGGTACCTTTTCCTATCCAAAGGCTCTTTACAAGACCCCCATTCTCAGCTAAGTACTATAGTCCTCGACTTACGGCAATTGAGCCCAATGTTTCTATTGCGAAGGGAGACTGTTGTTAAGTGAATTTTGCCACATTTTACGACCTTTCTTGCCACTCTTCAATCTGGCTTCCCCGTTGACTTTTGGTTGTCAGGAGGTTGCAAAAGATGGTCACACAACTCTGGGACGCTGCAACCGTCATACAGACGAGCCAGTTGCCAAGCATCCGAATTTTGATCACGTGACCGCGGGGATACTGCAAGGGTCGTTAAGTGTGAAGAATGGTGGGTCGTAAGTGTGAAGAATGGCCATAAGTCACTTTTTTCAGTGCCGTTGTAACTCTGAATGGCTATAGGTCGAGAACTACTTGTAGAAAGCCCGCATTTTGCCCACTCTTTTCGCCCAGTGGCAACAGGAATGAGTAAAGCAGTACGAGAAGCTCGAGACATGCCTGAAATTCTTGCTATGGATTTACTCATTGCATGCATATAAATGGCAAATTGATTTCTAGTCTGGTGGTAAAAACGATAGTTTGCCTCTTGCCAACTTATCGGAAAGTCCAGCGGCGACCTTATTCAGACAGACTTTGCCACTTGGGCTTTTAATTACAGGCCAATCAAATTTGGCTATGGACCCAGGCACGTCATAAACGAATTAAACCTCAAAGCTTAACAATGATTAGAAGACATGCTGGTTGCTCCATGTTTATTTTCATGTGGGGAAAAAAATGTGACTTAATTGTTCACTCAAGAGTAAGCACATCAGCAAAATTACAAGTTATTTCCTTTTAATTCTGGGAATAATTTCTATCTGCAAAAGTTTCATTCATTATTAATCTTTGTTTTAAAAAGGGAGGGTTGCCTATCGCTTAGCATCTTGAGATTCAAAAGAGAAGGAACAGACACCTCAACACTGTTTTCATTGATACTGTTATCACTTGATAGTTTTCAACTGAAATCTTAATCTAGACTCTGAAAATATATATTTTTTTTCCAATTTTCATCTTTCTTGTCATACAAACAGTAATTTGGGTAAGGAAAGATCAGGTTAAAAACAATGAAATATGAAAATAACTACTCCTGTTAATTCTCTAATACTTAGCGGATAGCACATCTCAGTGAATTCATGAAATATTTGGGGTTAATATATAGTGTTATGCTGAGTGGCGTGGGAAGGTTGAGAGTTCAATCCCAGGTAGCGGCAGATGTTTGTTTCCTAGGGCGCAAAGCAAAAATGTCTGCTGTGAACTCTACATGGCGTCAGGAAGGGCATCCAGCCAGTAAATGCTCAGCTCTATCCAGTTGCCCAGACTCTACCCTGAATTAAGTGATTACAGGGTTGTAAAAAGGGAGTTTTATATAGAGTTATGCTAAAGGACTTATTATTAGACTACAAAGAGTTTCCTTTTATTCTTCATTTGACAGTGTATTTGCTTTCACAAGTAGCTTATTATGTGCTACAACGGGCTAATTGTTGAGAAAAAAAGGCTAAAGCTACTCTAAGCCTACAGAATTAGATTTTTGAATCTTTAGGTATGTTGCATTCATTTGGGTCCAAACATTTCAATTGTTTTGGTTGTTTGGTTGAGCATTAAATTAATAGTTTTAGATTTGACAATTATATTTTTTAACTCAGTTTGATTTTCAGGGTGGAAATCATTTGTGTTAAATGCTGATATTATTCATGGTATCAAACACACATATAAAAATTCCCTAATGCTGGTGCCTCATAAGGTATGCATCTATTACAATAAACAGAATTTCCAATTAGCTCCCTACTTGTCTAGTCAAATCTTAAGGTTTTTAAGACATATTTTTCCTTTAAAAATGGCATAACAGAAAAGTCAGGTAGATGAAATGTTTTTTTTCCTTTATTTAGGTACATATTTGGTTATTTTTTTAAAAAATTCTGTTTTTTTTCATTTTCTAAAAAAATATATGTTTCTTTCTAAAGTGCATTGTTCTACTCCCTACCATTTTGCTCAAGAGATTTGAAAGTGTACAGCAACGTCAAAGCCATACAGAGCTTCAACGAAATATGAATAGAAATTCAGCTATCTGGGGTACAAAAATTATAAGGGTATGAGACAAACTGTCATTGTCATTAATTTTAAAGTCCACAGTCTAGACATTTTGATGCTTTCTAATCATAGGGAAACCTTTTGCATTAAATTGATCTGCTGAAAAATCTCAGCACATTTGCCACAGTAATATGAAGGAGAAAATTCTCAGAAATATTGCAGGGCACCAATAAACTGGATTCCATTACGGTCTGACACAAGTCAAGAGCGGATCACAGAAACATCATTACTGCAGAAGAAAACTCATGATAATCTTCTGCCTTTTAAAGATGCTTGTCCAATTATTCCCGATCTTTACTTCAAGGACAAAGTATGATAAACCCTTTCCAGACATTGTCTGAAACCCACAATTATATCAGAATACCTTGGCTACCAAGATCATTGCACTCCTTATCTTCCTACTCTTGAGGACGGTCCCATTAACTAAGCCCAATTTCTCCAAGGTCCACTTTCCACAATTTTTTCTTTCTTCCAGCTCAAACAGATGTAGGAGTTGTGTAATAGCATTTCTGAAAAGTTCATTAGTAAGAAAGTGTGTTTTCTTTTTTTTTTTTTAAAAAGGAGCCGTATTAAAAAGCCAAGGCAGTCACACTTAACAGTTCTCCACCAATTGCCAATTCAACTTTTCAGTTGGAGCCTGTTACAAGAACTACGTACCAACAGTAACAACGAAAACCCTGCACTCAAATATGAGATAACAAGAGGGACCTAGCTCCCCTCTCAGAATTGTCTCAGAACATATATCCTATTAGAACAGACCTGATTGTTTTATTGGTCTGAAAATTACAGGCAATTATTTGGAGATTCATGAGAACTCAAACTAGATCACCTTTTTTACACTGATGCTCCAAAGAAGATAAAAACTGAGGTCTTTTTTTTTTTTTAGTCCAAGCAAATGCAGGTCACCAACTGATGGAAGCAAAAGGAACCATGTGGAACAGAGTCTTTTTTAGTAGGTCAACACCCTCCCGGTCTTGCCAGCCCAGATGGCAGAACAGGTCACAAGTCTGAAGAAAGATGCAGGACCCTCCCTCCTTCATACCCCATCATCTTCTGCCGGCCACAGTCAGGGAGAGCCACTAAAGCCCTTTGTGGTATTAGGCTCTTGCTGAGTCCTTTGTGGTTTTGGCTGCATCAACACCTTAACATTACTGGCAAATCCAGCGTAGCTTTATTACATGATCTTGGAGCTTAAATCTCTTTTGCTGATGAGGACCTCCAGCAGCCTCAGTTTGGCCTTAACCTGCTTGTATTCATTATATTCTTCGGCCATGGGAACACGGTCTTCTTTCTGGACGTTTCTAAAAAGCACAACCAGATGAAATATTATCAGCTTCCTGTATAGGATTATGTCCTTAAAGGCATATTTTACAACTTTTGCAATGAGAGGAAACAGAAGAGTAAACTTAGCACGTCCTGGATGGGGAGGTGGGAAAATGCTTTAGGGCAGTGATGGCGAACCTTTTAGAGACCGAGTGCCCAAAAACCACCTCGCCCCCCGACCCACCCACCTGCTCCGCCACCTGCCCCTGCTCCACCCCCTGGTCTGCCCCCGCCCACTCTCAGGGCCACCCACTGCCTCCACGGCCCGCCACAGATCACCCAGGCGGCCCTGCAATGCCATGGCAGCCATGCCCTCCACCCACACCTAGCAGCATCATCTGCGCACATCGGGGCGCGAAGGTGGAGTCTTGTCCCTGCTGCCTGGCTGCCATGTTCTTGGCTGCGCTGCTCTGCGCAGGCCGCACCCAGGGGCGACTGCTGGTGAGGAAGGGGCCGTGGGGGGAGGCAGGGGTGGGACAATGGCGTGCGTGCCCACAGAGGGCTCTGAGTGCCGCCTCTGGCACGCGTGCCATAGGTTCGCCACCACTGCTTTAGGGAATTTTAAAAAAAGGAAAATTCAAGTGTGGGTCCAATCCTTTAGTGAAAGGAAGTACAGGTAGTCCTTGACTTACAACCATTCGTTTAGCGAACGTTCAAAATCACAATGGCACTGAAAACAGTGACAACCGTTTTTCACACTTATGACCACTGCAACTTCCCCATGGTCACACGATCAAAGTGCGGATGCTTGGTAACTGGTTCAAATTTATGATGGTTGCCGTGTCACGGGGTCACACGATCATCTTTTGTGACCTTCTGACAAGCAAAATCAACGGAGAGGCCAGATTGGCTTCACAATCACGTTACTAATTTAACCTCTGCAGGGATTCACTTAGCAACTGTGGCAAGAAAGATTGTAAAATGGGGCAAAACTCATTTAATTTAATTGCTAAGTGAGCAATAGAAATGTCGGCCTCAATTGTGGGCGTAAGTCAAGGACTATCTGTAGATCTTCTGGATATTAATATCCTCTACTGCATTCCTAGAAAGACAGTTATGACAATCCCTATAAAAAAAAACTAGCAACAAGCAGAGCAGGTAAGCAAAGGTGGACAAGACACATTTTCCCTGAACATTTGTTGGTTTGCCAGCTAGTGCAAAGAGCATTGCTGGCTCCTTAACAAACAAAATCTCTAGTTCCCTGTATTGCAATTTTGAGATGCACACACTCTAAGTCAGGGCTTTTCAACCAGTGGTACGGGTACCACCTGTGGTACATTGGCACCTGGCAGGTGGTACGCGACCATCCTAGTAAAGTGGTAGCGGGGGAGGGGAATGAGCTGAACCGGAGCAGCACTGCACAAGCCTGAGCAAGAGATGGCTGGAGCTGCGGGGCTGTTAGGGGTTAGTGGAAGCACCAGGATCAGCGCCAGGCTCCAGCTGGAGCTCGGCGCTGATCCTGGCGCTTCTGCTGAGCCCAGAAGAAGCGCCGATCAGCTGGAATGTTGCAGCCTCTCCAGGGTCTTGTGATTTACATTCAGATGCTTGGCAACTGATTCATATTTATGACGATCACAGTGTCTCAGGGTCATGTGAAGTGACCAAAACCTGCTGCAACCACCCAGTAGATGGGGGGAATAAAACCCAAACACCCCCCCTACCCCACCCTGCTGCCAATCCTCAACAGAAATGCTCACAACAATGAAAACCTCGGACAGGAGGAAGAGCGCCGCAGAGTGGGCAGGCAGGTGCCTTGCTCAGCTGTGGCTTGGGGGGGGCACTTTTTTCAGTGCCATTGTAACTTCGAACAGTCACTAAGCGAACTGTTGTAAGTCGAGGACTATCTGTACTTTATCACTTTTTTCCTTTTTTGGGGGGGGGGTCATCAAGTTTTTGACACCTTGCTAGGCGACTGGTGGTACTTGGATATTGCCATATCCTAAAAGTGGTACAATGGGTGAAAAGGTTGCAATGCCCTGCTCTAAGTGAAGGGATTTATGTTTTAAGCCTGTTCCATACATTATTACAATCTTCTGATACTCAGACCAGTGGAATTCATTAACTCAAGATAGAGCTTGGTTGGATAGCATTAAAAAGGGACTGAACAATTTATGGAGGACAGCTCTACCAAAGGCAATTAATACTCAATGCCATCTCTTGTTTGGGGGCAGTACAGCTTTAAATGCCACCTTCAGGGTAAAATGTGAGAAGGGAGTAATGTCTTTTTCTCTCTCCTGCTTTTGACCATTCCAGAGGCCTTTGGTCAGCCAACAAGAATCCAAAGGATCTTTACTTTAGAAGTTTAGAAATATGGCAGAGAGGAAAAACCAAAGATTAGTAAGCAGAGCCTTTGCAAGAAGTTAAAAATAATACAACACGCAACATGAATTAGTCCAGGGTTGGGGTTAAAAGAAGAGGATGGCAAGTTACCTTCCATTTTGTCGGAAAAAATTGTCTTCAAAATCTCTCAATTTTTTTCTGATCCTCTTTTTATCTTCCCTCACTTCTTGAAGCTGCTCCACAAGTTCACGCCTACAAAATGAAAGAAAAAACAGGCAGCCCAGTATTAAAAAGAGACAAAAAACCCAACAAGCATGAAAACAAGGTGGAAAAGATACATTTCTCCCAAGTATTGCGTTTGTCAGAAAAAAAGAAAATGTGTGGCTTACTCTTTAAGAAATAAAAATTTTAATACTCCAGAATGAGAATGTAGCAAAGTGTTTTATACTTTAAGTCTGTTAAACTGTCGTCTCATATCATTAAATTGTCATATTGAAGCCTGTGGAATTTGAGACTTCAGTAGCACAAATCTCAATGTCATAATTCAGTTAACTCCACAATTCCATTCATAGTTAGCTAACTTAACAAGTGCCTGTTGAGTTACACAAAGTTAATCATAGTTGATTAAAAGCAAAAAAATTAAGACTAAAATTCAGCTGACTTGAAATTCCACTCCACTCCATTCCATTCCATTGTTGCAACTTTTCCCCTGTTTTGCTAAGTTTTCAGGGAAAAATGTCAGGCTTTTTTTTTTTTTTGCTGCGACACACTAATAAGAGTCAATTTTGAACAGAAATAGGCTGACTAGTGCAGTTAAAGCAATGGCCACTTGTCCAATGCATGCAAATTGTATTTGTATCAGAGCTTTTTCAATTCTGCCCCCTGCATGAGATGTGAGAGTGGGGATTTCCACAAGGACATTGTCTACTCCCTCTCAAGGTAAAACTGAAATGCAAGATTTGGCTGAGCGGTCAATAAATGCCAGGAATTTCACCACATGTCACTGTGAAAGTTTAGTAACATCTTAGCCAAACTAAAAAAAAAAATCAAAAAAAATCTATACCCAGAACATGAAGTTGATTACTAAAAAAAATGACATACATAGAAGCAGCATGAAGATTTGACAATCCCATGTCCTGGCTGCTTTTTGAAGGGATCCTATCATCCACTGGAGAAATGAAGCCATCATCTTCTAGTTGGTCCAAAAAACTTCGTACGCCAAAGTCAGATTTTATTGTGACTGTGAAATCTGGTTTCACACTGCTGTCGTCCTCAGAGCCATCCTCTTCCTCCTGTGAAGAGATTTTGATTTCAATGGCTATTAGTCTCTGATAGACGTGCATTATCAAAATTGAAAATATTAAAAAAAATGCATAGACCAAATACTTTCAAATATAGCATGGGAAAGGGCAGTCTCTTGTGTTGCTACCTTATGGATCTTCTTTAGCATGCTTTCTAAATAGCTGGGATTGTCTGAACCAGGAAGAAAAGTGTCATATGTAAATATACAACTAACATTGCTAAGATTTGCAAAGAAGCTAGTAGGCCGATAGAGAGGGCAGTGGGCATGGGTTTGGGTGAACTCCAGGAAATAGTGGAGGACAGGGGGGCCTGGTGTGCTGTGGGGCATAGGGTCATGGAGAGTCAGGCACGACTTTGTGACTTCGTGACAACAACAATAACAACACACTAACATTGCCCAGACTTTTTTCCAATTCTTAAGGGTGTACAAATGTTTTGTTTTCTTTTGCCAGCTGGAATCCAGCAAGTGAAAAGGCCACACAGTACTTAGACAGCACCAAAAATATACCTTCAGTTTGGGTTATCTGAACCTAGTATTTATATTGTGGCCACATTTAATTGTCAAATAATCTATTTCTAGGAACTGAACAATGCTTAAAAGAAGGCAGATGTTTCCATCCCTAAATAGAGACCTTGAACATAGGAAGTGTTTCAGTGAACTAGGATTTATTCATCTAGACTGGCATTGCCTATTCCAGTCTTCCCAATTTAGACACTGTTGGATAGATTTTAATTCTTGTAATTCTACACCCAGCATGTCTACTTTGGAAAATTCTGAAGGATTCAGATTTGGAGGACATCCATGTTGGGGAAGGGAGAGGACAACACAACCATTTATATCATATTATTGCCAGATATGTCCTTTTGTAGTGGGCGAATGTGGTTAGGCAGAACTGCAAAGAGGTTATTTCTTACACTGGTAGCGAATCAACAAATAAAAGCATGAAGATTTTTTTTAAAAAAAATAGATTCCCAGAACAGTCTTCTAGACAAACTTGGGTCTTGCACTAATTACATAGCTTAAAAGTCTAGGGGAACTGTGAAATTGCAGTATATCACTAAATAAAACAATTTTCTAAAGCAGACTGTATTAATTGATCTCTAGCTTCCATGGGTGGGATGATTTTAGAAATCCAGGAATTAAGATAGAAAACTGTTACAACTGAAGTACATTGTAAAAGCAGTCAGTACAATAATGTGGGCAAACAGTGAAAAAGAGCTATAGATTTTGCTGTGATGTCCTTGGTTACCTAGTGTGGTAATGATATGTCTACATCAGGGGTAGTCAACCTTGGCTCTTTTATGACTCGTGGACTTCAACTCCCAGAATTCCTGAGCCAGCTAAGCTGGCTCAGGAATTCTGGGAATTGAAGTCCACGAGTCATAAAAGAGCCAAGGTTGACTACCCCTGGTCTACATGAAAACAACCAAGCTCAGAGAGCACCAAGGACCCCACAGTTAAACCCTGAGTTGCAAATATTCTCTTCTACTGAATTTGCTTCCTGGAAACATGGAGATGAAGGAAGAGCATCATCATCACCCACAGTGGAGGAGGAGAACTGATGTAAGTTGAACAAACGAATTAATGTGGGAGGGGAGCGAGAAATCCCACTTTTGATTCACCTTTATCTCTTTGAAGAAGGAAGCAGTTTCTCCTTCAATTATTGGCTGTAGCAAAGGACTTCTCCGCTTGCTAGAGGGAGAACCCTGCAAATAGATATCCAAATTGATTTTGTTACAACCCCTTTCTTTTCCACCTTATTCTCTCCCCACAACCTACAGCACATTCATTCCCACATCCACATAATAGTTACGGTATTGTTATTCTAATCCAGTGGTTCTCAACCTTTTTAATGCCGCGACCCCCAACCGGTCGTAAGTCGAGGACTAAACCGGTCGTAAGTCGAGGACTAAACCGGTCGTAAGTCGAGGACTAAACCGGTCGTAAGTCGAGGACTAAACCGGTTGTAAGTTGAGGACTAAACCGGTCGTAAGTCGAGGACTACCCAACCGGTCGTAAGTCGAGGACTTTCCCTGGCCGGGAGCGCCGCGCATGCGTGGTTCCGCCCCCTGTGCCAGCCGAGGCGTAGCTGGCAAGCGGCAGAGATGGAGCACGCCGACCACCAGCTGCCCAGCCCAAGGGAGGTAAGGCACCCACCGGAAAAGGGGAAAATGGCGGACAGCCTTGCTTGGCGACCCCTGTGAAATGGTCGATTGACCCCAAATGGGGTCACGACCCATAGGTTGAGAACCGCTGTTCTAATCTAAGCCAATAAATGAGAGTATTTGTATTCTAGGCCATTCAATGCAGAACAGAAAATGATTCCCCATCATGCTTTTCATATATTATACCATAGAAAGCCTTTCTTACAGTATACAACAGGGGTCGCCAACCTCCCCGGTCTGTGGCCACAGCTTGCTTAGAACCAGGCTGTGGAAGTGGTGAGCAAGTGTGCGTGCACGTGAAGCTGCACTTGTGAAAGAGATATGTGTGCACAAACCCATCCCCTTTCCCTCCCCTCCAGTCCGCCAAGCCAGAAAGTTGGGAGACCATTAGTATACAACAACCACATGGCAAAATGACATAGACAAGTCAACAAGCCTAAGTTTGGAGATTTGGATGGTGGCAGGAGTTTCAAAGATTCTCGGGGACTTCTCTAATAAGACAGGACTTCTTTCTAATGGACCAAGATGGGGATTTTAAGTAAAAGGAAAGTCCAAATGGTTAAAGTGGAGTTAGCTGCGCGATGTGGCAGCAAATAAGGAAAAATGCAACTTTGAGGTACATCCAAAGATATATAATTTCCGAACGACTGGAAGCAATCATACTTTTCTATTTTGCTTTGCTAAAATCTGATTTCTGCTACTAATTCTGAGAAGCTGACTTTCAAGGCTCCAAGAAATTGAAACTGGTTCAGAGAAAGGTAACAAAAATGTTAAGAATACTATAAACAAAGACTTATGAAAAGAAATTGAAGCAGCTGCCTTCTTTAGCCTTGCGTACAGGACTGAAGGAGGATATAATGTCTTCAGATACCTGAAAGGGTATCAGACAGGCATGTTTTCTCATTCCAGAGGGAAGGATCCCAAACAATGGATTTAAATGACAGGAAAGGAGATTCTGGTTGAAGGTTTAAAAAGATTTCTGAAGTAAAAAAATAGTTTGACAGTAGAACTAATTGCCCAGATAAATAGTGAGCTCCATTTTATCGTGGAAGCTCAACAGACAATCCTTCAGTTTGTCTTCTTGCATTGGACAGAGGCTGTGCTCAGGGATCTAATGTCTAATGTCTAATTCTATGATTCTGTTCTGAGAAATTCATCCTAGATTTTATTGGTGCTTATCAGACTTCCTGGCTCTCATTTTCAAATGCTTCTAATGAAAACACAAAATAAATTGAAAGCGAATGCATGGCAAAACAAAGGCCCTTCTTTCAGCATATGCTGTAGTTCTTGGAGATATTCTAAGGAAAAAAACAGCTTTATTTGGAAGTATTTTCTCCTGCCCAGGTGGGAAAAAACAAAAACAAAAAAACAGACAAGTATTAATGGTGGGGAGAAACTTTACTAGTTTGTTCTACGTCTAATAGTGTATTGATCTCCTTCCTGCCAGCATTTTATGTTCTTACAATTCCAAACATGTCCCCAGCTTACAGTGCTGGGGATTTCTGTCCTAGATCATGCAACATAGTAAAATAGAGCTTTAAATTTTTTCCCAGTTAGGAGCTTTTGTCCCTTAAGACCTTGCAAAAACGAATGGATCTGCCAGAATGCATGGCCAATGCAGAACAGACATCTTTTGACAATTCATGGTTCACATGTAGAAGAAACCTGGCTTTGCCATGGGTATAAGTGATAACCCAAAAGAAACCACATCTTGTCCAATCAGTTCATTAGAGCAGACTCCTTACTGGGAAATGCTGTTGACAGCGCTGACCTAAGTAGCTGCTAGCGCACCTGTATTTCTTTTCATATTGTGCAGGTATACATGTAATTATCTGGCTGTTACTACAGAGGAGATGTGGACTGCGAGCAACAAGGTGGTCTCTCTTCCCTGCTGGCTAAGAAAATGCAAGTGCAATAATCAAAACATTCGGTTTACACTCACGATAATGGGAATACAGTTTGCCCTGGAGAGGATCTGCTTGATCAAGCGGTATCTGTCGTAGAGGGGCTTCATAGTTTGCCGTTCATGTTTTGTTACCTGAAAAGGAGAAAATTGCCTGAATGTTGGTGTTGGTGGTAGGTAGGTTTTGCTAAAGCAATAGCAATAGCACTTACATACCGCTTCACAGCCCTCTCTAAGCGGTTTACAGAGTCAGCCTATTGCCCCCAACAATCTGGGTCCTCATTTTACCGACCTCAGAAGGATGGAAGGCTGAGTCAACCTTGAGCTGGTGAGAATCGAACTACTGAACTGCAGTCAGCCGGCAGTCAGCAAAATTAGCCTGCAGTACTGCATTCTAACCACTGCGCTACCACGGCTCATACCCATATCTGGGTATGGGTTGCAAAAGTCTTGGAAGTTGCCAGATTTCAGCAAAGAGAACTATTTACCGCTAGTAATCATTCACATTTTTACAGCACAGACTCTGTTTTCTATGGAATCTCTTGTGAAAAAAGGGATAATCTACTTTCTATTATCCCCTTATGAAGGGTAGGGCTGGGCACAAGAGCTACTGATAAGGAATGAAATGGTATAACACAAACTTAATGGCATTATACTAGCTCTTAGCACCCTTTCTTTCCTATTATCTCACCGGACTCGATTTCTACTCTTTGGGTATGTAATTGTTTGCCCCTATTATTATTTGCTAAGTAAGATCTATATATGCATGGTATCGGATGTGGAATTTAAGTAACACAACTGCAACAATACAGAATCATACTTTAAATTCTTGCATTTATCATCGTCATAGTTATCAGTTTAAATGGAAATTTTTATCATTCAGGCCTGTAGTTCTAAACCGGTTTCATTTTTATTAATTCCTTGAAAAGGAAAATAACCTTGTTATCTTTCACATCCAAGCTCAAGGTCTGGTCCTGAATCTCTCTTTATCTAAACACTTTGCAATGATTATAATTACTGGACAGATTAATACCTAGCCAGTCATCATCATTTCTGTCTTGCTACTTTTCTGTGCATAGTTCAAAGAACAGAGGACCTGTTCTCACATTCAACAACTGGACATTTGCATTTACCCAAATGCTGAGCCCGTTTGTTACAAAAATTACTATACTTACCGGTCTTCCATGGATGCTTTCATAATAGAGGAGGGATTTTTGAAGGGCCACTTTCTCTGATGCTATCTCATCTCGAGTCATATCCTGGGTACAGGAAGGACAGACAAAAAAGTAGAGGAACAGTGTGATACAGTATGTTGTTTGTACTGCTGCTTCCCATCCCCGAGTTTTTTATTTACTAATCCAGTGGTTCTCAACCTTTTTAATGCCGCGACCCCAACCGGTCGTAAGTCGAGGACTAAACCGGTCGTAAGTCGAGGACTTTCTCTGCCCGGGAGCGCCGCGCATGCGGATGTGCACAGCCCCAGCTAGCTTAAAATCAAGGAAAAGCTTCCATGTAAGCAGAGTGGGATAGAAATATATATATATAGATCAGTGGTTCTCAACCTTTTTAATGCCGCAACCCCCAACCGGTCATAAGTCGAGGACTAAACCGGTCGTAAGTCGAGGACTAAACCGGTCGTAAGTTGAGGACTACCCAACCGGTTGTAAGTCGAGGACTTTCCCTGCCCGGGAGCGCCGCGCATGTGTGGTTCCGCCCCCTGCGCCGGCCGAGGCGTATCTGGCAAGCGGCAGAGACAGAGCAGGCCGACCACCAGCTAGCCCAGCCCAAGGGAGATAAGGCACCCGCCGGAAAAGGGAAAAAAAATGGCGGACAAAAAAAATGGCGGACAGCCTTTCTTGGCGACCCCCATGAAATGGTCGATCGACCCCAAATGGGGTCCCGACCCACAGGTTGAGAACCACTGTGCTAATCAGTGGCTATCTTGAGTCTATTTTAAACTGTTCCTTTATCTCTGTACATCCCCTAGAATTGCTTCTCCACTGAGGCAGCTAATAATAAATTAAATGCAGTTAATTAATACATTAATCAATATGCACGGAATTCTGCATGGACTGGTGTTATTGGTAGCTTTTCTTTTTTTTTGTTAGGTCTAAGGATGTGAACAAAATTCTTTGAAAAATGTGGCTTCCTGACCAGGATTTTCAAGAAGAAGGTCAAGAAAAGGGCTCATTGGGTGGGTCAGTGAAAATAAGTGATAAATCTCTTGTAAGAATATTTTAGCTCTTCTGAAAGAAACAATATATGAGGATGGTCTTGAGACTTGGGCCTGCAGGATATCTGCCTTATTAATTCTCCTTGATATATTGACAATTTCCTATACCATTATATTTCGACTGCTTTCTTGAGAGATGGATTAGAGCAGGAGATACTTAATATTAATGTTGGGTGGTTGGTTCTAGAACAGTGTTTCTCAACCTTGACAATTTTAAGGCATGTGGACTTCAACTCCCAGAATTCCACAGCCAGCAATGCTGGCTGTGGAATTCTGGGAGTTGAAGTCCACATGCCTTAAAATTGTCAAGGTTGAGAAACACTGTTCTAGAAGGTGAGGTTGAGTAACTACAGTACTTGTCAAATTGAAAGGCAAACATCAGAATGCTGCAATGTCGAGTACTGAATTTGGCAAGCAACGTGGATAAAAGTCAATAAAAAAGGCTTAATAGATGAAAAGTTGATGATGTTGCTTTTGCCCTAGACTGCAATGTTCATGTGGTCCAGAAGGACAGCACTCCCTTTGAAAGACTAGTCCTGCATCTTCAGTTATTTAGCTCAGTGGTCTCTGTGGCACGAAACATCTTCCATTAGCTTATACTGGTGGGCATCTACTGAGCAGAAAAATCAGTCATACATTTATTTACTGGATTTATATAACTGTCTCACATACATGACTTGGAATAGCTTACAATAAAAATGGATAAAAGACATACACCACAAAAAAATAAAAACACGCAGTAGTCTGGAACCGTAAACAATCAAACTTCCACTTAAATGACTACATGTCAAGCTACTTTAGAAAACCGCTGGAAAACTAAGCTAGTAATTTAATAGTTCTGTTTTGAAGTAATTAGGCATGTGTGATAGTCCTTCACAAGATTGAGACACATTTCTGGGAACAACTGAGAATGCTGATGCTGTTTTTAATTCCCCTTCATCGTGTATGATAAGAATAGCTGATGGTAGCCTTGAGGACATAGAGTGGTGACAGGACCTTATATACCAGCCCTATTCTTTCCTTCCTGTGGGTCCAGCAAAAGGTAAGAGATTGTATTAAAGATTGGAAAGAAATTTGTAACTGCAGCAATGACACTGCCTTCAACCCATCAGTATCTGCAGTACAGCCAAGGTCGTTTTCATTGTCTGGAAACAAAACCCTAAGAGATCTGCCAAAGGTCGTCTTCCTACCCTTAACAAAATAATTGAGAGCAGTACAATCACTGACACTGTAGTTCTCAAATATGTATTGTAGACCTTCAAATAACCATTTACTCCATAACGCCTACAGAAATCTATTTAGATTACATTCAGCATTTCTATGAAACCTTTTAAAGATGACAGTGTTTAGGCTGAAAGATTGAATCACAAATTAAGTGCAGAACAGCATAGTCCATTCCTGAAATGGAATCTGAATGTTCTTCCATGAATCTTCCGGGACAGAAAGAGGTTCACAGGGTTCCAAATAAATGGGTTTCAAGAACAGATGTTGTCTAAAACTCTACAGAAACTTTCTGTTTTGGGCAAACTGCTGCCACTTTGGGAGAAAAAAAATGGAACACACTGGGATCATACTACAGTTTTGCATCACTTAACTGGGACCTTTTGCAAACAATTGTATGATTTAGAAGAAATATCCTTCAATATCCTTTATTCACCCTCTCACACTAGAACAGACATGTCAAACACAAGGCCCGGGGGCTGGATGCGGCCCGCGAAGTGGTTTCATGTGGCTCGCGAAGCCATCCTGGAAACAGTGAGGGAACGCCCCTCGCTGCCTTGGCCCTGGCCGGCCGGGAGCCAATGTACAATTTTGTGGTGGCCATCTATGCTGAAACGCATTCAGTCTTAGCTCCATAAGCCTCCCCGCGCATGGCCTGAGAGAAACAGTGAGGCTCCTCCAGTGGACCATGCCTTGGCACTTGCCCTAGTCCCATCCCTTTCTGCCAGAGACTGTCCCACTCCTGCCCAGGCCCCCACAGGCACCCTTGACGTGAACGATGTAGAGTGGCCACACCCACCCGGCCCCGAGGGCAACCGCAATGCTGATGCGGCCCTCAATGAAATTGAGTTTGACACCTCTGCACTAGAACTTTATGCTATTCCATAGGGATACTGCAAACAGCCTTTATGCTATTCCATAGGGATACTGCAAACAGCCTTAATATAATTCTAAATTGGCATTTTTTAATTAGCACCTCAATCATCTCTGTATGCACACCACTTCAGGATCTTAATAATTGTGTGGGATTTTTTTTAATTATTATTTTTTCTTGCTCTTTTCTTAAGTGTACCTTAATGTCCTCAGGTCGACTTGCTTCTGCCCTTTTCTCTTGGAGCTTCTTCTGCATGGATTCCAAAGTTGCCTCCACTAAAGGCTTAGATGATTTATCAGAAACCTCTTGCTTCTCTTCCTCTTTCTCCAGCTGAGAGCCAAAACTTTTGGGGAGTGTATTGCTACGTTGGCGAGTCATAGGAGCCAGATCTTCTTCTGACATTTTCAGTTTTGATTCTAGTTTTGGGCAAGGAAGGGAAAAAAAGTATTTTTAATGACAGGCAACAGAAAGAAAATGCAGGTAAGTCCAACTCTAAACAAGGAAGTGTTGCCACTTCCTTAATGCTCACCTTTTAGTTGCTTTCTAAACTTTGCAAGGTCATTTGTCCATTTCAGCACCTCGAGATTGGCTGCTTTGTCACTGTGAGAAGGCTGTCCGAGAGGGGGAAGCAAATAGGAACAAGGAATTTTTGTCAATGAAGGAACTGAAACCAAGGCTTGTAAATAAACACATTTATTCCAGGACTTTTACAAAATTTCCCAAAAGATGGGCAGATTTCCCAAAATACGCCCCTCCAGGTTTCTTTAATATGATTAAATATATAATAATATAAAGACATTCTTGAGTTTTCTGAGTGAGGTATATATTAAAGGTATATATTAGTTTTTTTAAAAAACAAAGTTCATTGCTTTATGCCCGTGGTGGCGAACCTATGGCACGGGTGCCAGAGGCGGCACTCAGAGCCCTCTCTGTGGGCACGCGTGCATCGCCCCAGTCCTATGCCTTCAGCTGGGTTTTATAAAACCTTTTCGCTTTAGGCCTCTGCCGCTGTGTGCAAAAAAAAAAAAAGTTCAATCAATCAATTTCAACTTCTCGCGGGAAACAAAAAGATCTCGCAAAGTTGGAATTGATTGAACTTTTTAGTCCCACCCAGTCTGCCATGACCACCAAAGCCACACCCACCCAATGGGCCACGCCCACCTAATGGGTCACACCCACCCAATGGGCCATGCCCACCTGGCACCAGACAATATATAAGTGGGTTTTGGGTTGCAGTTTGGGCACTAGGTCTCTAAAAGTTTCGCCATCACTGCTTTATGCACTCTCTAAAACACACTATAAATAAAATGAACAGGTGTCTATTGCACATACACTTTCTAGGTCATCTGAAGAGATTAGCAGCTTGATCAAATACATCTTTTACTTAGATATGAATTATTTGTTGAGCTTAGTGGGCTTTTCCCCAATAATGTTAAAAAAGGATGGCTACTTAATAATAAGTCAGTTGTTTCTTCTGCTAGATAATCAGCTTAATGATTATGCTGTTTAGCAATTCAACTGCTAGTGATGGTCAGATAAATCCCATTTGGGTATAACTGGGAAAGAAATTAAAATCTGAAAAGTGCTGTTTGATTGAAGGAAAAAGTTTTCGTCAGCTTACTCTATACTTTCTCTCTTCTTCAAATTTGTCTTCATACCGCCTGATCTTTTTCTTCAGTCCTTGAATCCTGCGAGTCAACTGTGCTGGTGTCAAATCTTCATTGTCATCTTCATAAGATCCCAAAGAAGAACTTCTTCGCCTAGAATGAAAGTCATGCCATTATGTTCAATCAATTTGTATACATTCAATCACACACACACACACACACACATCATTTAACTCTTTGTTGGCAATCCAAATTTAACACACACACTAACACACACACCAATGCTGTTTATTGGGTAGAAGTTGGATGTTTGATTCCAGATGGCTTGTGTTTGCCTCCTTTGGTATCACTATATATTATTACATTTTGTTCCATGACTTAAAACTGAGATTACCTATCAAGATGGCAGTTGAGATCATAGATTTAATGTATTTTTTTAAAAGATTATCAATGATATTCTTTGCTTTTAAAACCTAGTTTATATGCATAGCAAAATAAAATGGTACAATCATGAAATGGGGTACAATATTCCACGTTGGTGGAGAAATAGTTTCAACCCATCACTTGCAAAACATTTTCTTAACAAAATCCCAGCTTTGTATTTTTGTAGTTCCTCTTTTCTCCCCTGCAGGATGTTATATTTACATAATTAAACATTCCCAAATGTGGACCCACCCTTCTTTTTCCTTCCACAATCTGAGCTAGAGCAAAATATGAAGGAACATGGGAGATCTTTAAAATAAAACCGACAAGAACAGACTCTCTTCTAAATCACAGAGAATTCTGAATTGCAGACTGAGTTATGTTTAAAACCCTATCATACTGAGTATCTGCTAAAAATGGAAAGCAGCATCATGGGAAGGAGTTTAGGCTCAGCTGGAAGAAATGGATGACCGGAATTCTGGAGCAGTTCGGTAAGGAGGTAATGTCCTACCCAAGTAATGACTGTGCTGAATGCTGCCGCCAACCTACCTCATGAATGAATGAGAATTGGGTGGGGAAGGAGGCACTTCTGTGTCATCCAAGTACTGCTGACTTTGCCCATAGTTATAAAAGCGAGGGGACAACAATGGGTCACTGTCTTCATCCAGAAGCTGCTGAATGAGGCGTCCAGCCTGAGGGGAAAGGTGAGCTTCATCAGAATCATTACGCTGCCAGGAGGAAAAGGCAGGGACAGGCTCTGGAAAATAGAGGAAAGGAACAACGGTTGGGAGCTTAGTCTGCAATTGTTTTTAATTTGATTATAAACACTCAGTGACTCTAAGTCTCTAGCTCAGAGGTCTCCAAATTAAGACTTGTGGACTTCAACTCCCAGAATTCCTCAGCTTCTGGGAATTGAAGTCCACAAGTCTTAAAGTTGCCAAGTTCGAAGACCCCCGCTCTAGCTACTGCACATAATTAAACTTTTAATACTGTAGAAATCATAACCATTAAAATCCAGCAAACAAACCAAGGTACCAATTAAAAAAAAACCCAGCGCAACAAACAAGTCATTAAGAATTCAAACTATCTTGCAGGTTACGCCCCAGTGACCCCAAAGGAAGCCCACTTACCATCCAATAATAGATGGATAAATATTCATTGACTTCCTTAATACCAGCAAGGTTTAGATAACTTTTCTATTTGAGCCATAGATTACTTGGAGAAAAGTTAAAGTCTTTTTTTTCCAGATAAATAAAGTCATACTTCTAAAACGCTTGAGAGAACAATTGTAAATAATTGTAAATAAAAAGATGCGATGATTACTTTTCTAAATGAGCATTTCAACGCCGGAGGACAGCTGTTTCAGAGCAAATCTGTGGATTTAGATTGAAGAAAGAGATTCTACTGATGACCTTAAGCTAAGCACAGGGCAGGTGTTGAATTAGTTATGAAGGTCACACTCTGCAGAGGTTAACTAATACAGTAATTTGAATTGGCCCATAAACACACTGGAAGAAAACAAATGCAAGAAAGCTATCGTAAGAGCCTATTAAGCTCTTAATTTTGCATTCGTTGAAAATTTCCAAGTCAAAAACATTGTATAACTCCAACAGTTTTCTTAAATACTATCTATTAATGTAAACTGGGTGCTACTTGTTAGTTCTGGCTCCTTGGTAGAATTAGAAATCAAGGAACATCGTTAAGTCAAAGAAATCGATTATTTTCAAGGGCAACAAACAGACTGCAGATAGTTTGACGGTTATGATATTTATGTTCGCTTTGCAACCTATGTGCCCTTTCGCTACTTTTTCAAAATTCTAGAATATATCCGCTTCTAAACAGCAAAGACTTGTGAGAACTATATTTGGCCAAAGGGAA